AAAAAGTACAAGATGACAGCATGGCCACTAGAGTACCAAGATCATTACCATAAAATACTACAAAAACAACCCACCAACTCCATGTGTCAAGCATAATAGCCAAAAGATACTTGTGCATCTTTATTTCAAAAGTATTTTGTTTCCTAATCTTCAATAACGTGACTTACTAGCATATTTAATAATGTATATAAACTTCTGCAAAAATACAAATAATATTTTGACTTTTGGTATTTTTATATGCATGAAGTATGTCTTCCCAGAAAAACCCACATTTATATGTGTAAATTCAAATCTATGTAGTAACACACACACACACACACACACACACACACACACACACACAGCTATTTGCCTCAAAAAGAAAAAATAACCCACCAAATTTAGTAGCAGAAATGGCAACAGATCCTAAGTGAGGACTATACTGAAAAAGAAACACAAATTCAGAATCATGTCAGGAAATAGATTTTCCAATGGTGATAAAATTGTACATGACACAAGACTAAGGAAGTTTTCTAGAGTCATTGCAAAAAAATAAAAATACAACAAGTTAAATGTCACCTTGGGAGGAACAGAGTATTAACTAGTAAAGAAGACTGATAACCTACAAGCCCTCTACTTGTTCCAAATATATTTCTGGACAAATGCATGTTTATTTTAGAATTAGGAAAGCATACTGCTTACATCTTAAAAATGCCAGGAGCCAGCAACTAGCTGAATAATTAACAGAGTTTCCTGACTAAATTATTGCTTCATAAAAGGTGGTTCCCGCCCATGTTACCCCTTCCTCTTTGCAACCAAAGGCGGCCAGTGACTGGCACATGGATACTGCTGAATGAAAACCATAGTCAGTAAATTAGTCCATAGGTGAAATTTTGCTCTTAAATATAATAAAATTGGGCCAGATTTTAGAAATGTGAAGAGAGACGTGACTTACATGTCAATCATTTCACTTCTCTCTAAGGGGTGTCAACTTAGCACTAATGATACTGTCTCAAATATTTAAATATCATATCTTACCCTGCCCTAGTTGGCACAATGATATAAATGGCTTTAGGAAATTGAACTGTTCTAATTTTCTAAAGCTAAATTTTTGCTAAAAAGAAAAAACACAGGTGTGAAATGATATTCCATCACACACTTATGTTTCAATAGTAGTCATTTTGCTCTGTTTTTGTGAAATATCCTCAGAACAACTGAAACTGCTAAATATAAAGAAAAGAAAACAGTAACAAGAGTGATAAGCAATTCCACCCTGACCAGGTAGCTCAGTTGGATAGAGCATCATCCCCTGGTCAGGGCACATACAGGACCCAACCAATGAATGCAGAAATAAGTGGAACAACCAATCCATGTCTCTGTCTATCTCCCCTCTCCCCCTCCCTCTCTCTCTCAGATCAATAAAAAAGAATGATAAACAATTCCCATTTCTATTGAAATATGAAAGTATAGAATTTATATTTTTAAAAAATATGCTTCTATTGACTTCAGAAAGAGAGGAAAGGAGAGGGAGAAAGAGAGAGAAACATCAATATGAGGGACAACCTTTAACCAACCGAACCACACAGGCCAGGGCTAGAATTTCTCTTTTTAATCTGAAGTCTAGAAACAAGACTAAAATAGCCTTCCCATAGATGAGTTTTTTAAAAAACCAAAGTTTCTTTGTAAAATAAAACACATACTAAAATGTTTTTGTTTTTTTTTTTAAAAAAATAGGGGAAAGTATTATCCTCAGGGGTACATAATTTTAATAATCTCAATTTTCAAAACTTGGTTTTTGGAACTAGAAGCAACCGGTTCTTCAAACTGTTTACTAATTTGAGATAAATCAGAGCTCAGCCTCCTGGATGTGAGAGGAACTGCACCAGGCAGGGCAGAGGCCACGTTAGGGAACTCATGTGGTGCCGCATAAAAATGATGGGGAACTGGAGAAGTTAAAATTTTAGCTTTGGTTGTACCGTTAATAGGCTTGGTAATTAATGCATGTAGAAAGCTATTGTTCCAGGGACTGGAGTATATAACTGGACATGCTCTGACTTCAGGAGCCCCGAAAGCAATTCCACATTTCTGTCCCAGGATGACTGCAAGGGACCAAGATGGTATCTGAGCCATTGTCCTGCAGGGAGAGAACGTCTGCTGCCCAGGATGCAGATAAAGCATCACCGGTCAGCTGACAAAGGGATGCTAGAAAAATCACCGGACTGCAGCTTTTATATGATTAACCTTTTCCCCTGAATTCCAAACCCTTTGCCTACACTTTTCTTCTTCTTACAAAAAGGGTTGGCTTGAGCCCTAGCAGGTTTGGCTGTGGGCTGAAGAGTCCTGGGTTCGATTCTGGTCAAGGGCACATGCCCAGGTTGCGGGCTCGATCCCAAGTAGTGGCGTGCAGGGGGCAGCTGATCAATGATTCTCTCTTATCATTGATGTTTCTACCTCTCTCTCCCTACCTCTCTGAAATCAATAAAAATATATTTTTAAAAGGGTTGGCTTGAAATGAGATGTAAGACAGTATTTTTAGGGTACATAACCTGCCCATCTTCTCAGATCGCTGGCCATCTGGATAAAGCGCTCATAAAGATTCAATCCTTGCTTCTACTTACAGGTCCTGATAGTGACAGGTAGCACGAACGCCAACTTTTCCGGTTTCAAAAGTATCTCCTCAATTAGAAGCACCTCAGTTATAAGATGGGCCCTTTTATTCCTGAACTTGACTCCAGAAGAGCAAATGTTCCAGTTTTCTGAAGTACAAAAGACTTCTTTAAATGCAAAGCCCAGGTTCTGTACTAAGGAGCAGTGTTTCTCAAACATTAATGTGCAACTGAATCGAGGACTTGTTAAAATGCAGATTTTGATTCACTAGGTTTGGGGTGATGTCCAAGATTTGCATTTCTAATAAAATCCCAGATAAAATGGATGCTACTGATTCATGGACCAACTTGAGTGCAAGGATATATAGGGCATACATTTGTAGCTTCCCAGACTTTACCATCTAGTGGGGGGAAACTTGTAAGTAAACATGTAACCATAGTAGTTTTCTTTGTCATTCCTACCTATTGATTATCTAATATGGTGGTAGTAAGTGTTTATTTTTATTATTTCTTAATTATAACTTCTTTTCATGAATATGTTGACATAAAATGATCCCACAGAAAAGTATACACAAGATAAATATTATGAACAGTTTCACTTAAAAAAGAAGAAAATTATGAAAAAAATTAAATTGTACATTACAAGCTTCCCAACTGAAATAATTAAAAGTGTTTCACTAACCAAAGAAGAAATAAACTCCTCCAACACCCAACCAATTATTCCATTTCAGTTTTTTGGACGAAGTCAACATTAACCAACAGTGTTTATTTTATCTCTATTTATATCTCCTGTTTTAAACAACCAGCTGAGTTAAAATATAGTCATTCAATAAATATTTATTGAGTATCAACAATGTGTTAGGCACTGGGCTGGGCGCAGAGGACAGATAATGAATGAATGGGGAGAGATAAGTAATAAACAAGTAAATAATTCATTGGAAATAGAAACATCCAGCACTACTTTGCCAGGCATGTGAGTGAGCTCCTCTGGAAACAGATTCTCCAACCCCAAGCCTTCAGGTGACTACAGCCCTGGCTGAGGCCTTGACAGTCATCTAATGAGAGACATGAGCCAGACCACCCAGCCTGGCCATTCTTGGGTTATTGATCCATAGGCACTGTGCGAAACAATAAATGTTGGTTGTTTTAAGCCACAAAGGTTTGAGGTGACTTGTTACGCAACCATGAACAACTACTACAGAATGAAGTGGGTGAGAGGTAAGAACACACTTATTTAACAAGGGTGGTCAGGAAAGCCTTCTTTAAGAGGAAGACATTTGCCCAGCCGGTGTGGCTCAGTGGTTTAGCAGCATCGACCCATGAACCAAGAAGTCTCTGGTTCCATTCCTGGTCTGGGCACATGCCTGGGTTGTGGGTTTGATCGCCAGCAGGGGGCATGCAGGAGACATCTGATTGATGTTTCTCTCTCAGTGATGTTTCTATCTCTCCCTCCTCCTTCCCCTCTTTTCTAAAAAATCAATAAAAACATATTTAAAAAGAGAAAAGAAGACATTTAAGTTGAGACAGATAAAATGGAGTCAGCCTGAGCAGAAGGTGGTTCTTTGGTGGCAAGATGAAGAGCACCCAGAACAAGAGCACCAAGTGAAGGTCCTGAACAGTAGATGGGGGCAGTGTTGCCAGAGCTTTCCGACAGGAAAGGGGGAAAGATGCGGTCACAGAGGTGGTCTTAGCCATACCAGGCAGGGCCTCTTGTAGAGAGTTTAAATTATTCTCAACACACTGGGAATCCTTTCACGAGTCTTTAGCAGAAGACCAATGTGAAGCCCTCTGTTTTAAAAACCTCCGTGGGGCTGCCGCATGGGAAAGGAATACTTATGCCAGGCCTGCTATCTACTCTTCAGTCCTTCCGAGGCTCAGATAAGCATGATCAGGAAAGGCTTAAAAGTACGAGGAATGGCATGAGTGTGTCACTACGATGACTACTACTGTTGCTGTTCTTCCAGACTCAGGCCTGGCGTGGCCTCTGGAGAGCTGCGGGGGAAGAAACAGGCGGAGGGGAGAGCAGCAGGATCTCTGGTTTCACAGGACCTCATAGTCTTTCCTGAGGCAGCCTCCGAACCTCACTGCACTCAGTCCCAAGCATAGACGTGGCGTATACTTGCTAATCCTGCAATGTTGATGAGGAACAAGAACGAATTTGCAGTACAAATATTTACTTTGGGGTATAGGTATGACTTTTAAAAATTGCCCTAGCTGGTTTGGCTCACTGGATAGAGCACTGGCCTGTGGACCAAAGGGTCCCAGGTTTGATTCTGATAACTCTCTATCCCTCTCCCTTCCTCTCTGTAAAAAATCAATAAAATATATTTTAAAATATACATATATATATATATAAACTTAATTTTCATTATGTAAATAATGCTCATTGTAGAAAAATTCTCACTTATTTTGCAGGTAATGTGTATTGCAGAAATTTTCAAGAACAAATATGTAAAAGAGAAGAAACTAAAATTACCAGTTACCCCAATTACTCCAAGGTAAGTACTGCTTTCAACTTCCTTTTGGTAAGTATCCTCCTAGTATCCCTACGCCTATATATGGAATATATACTGGTTACAACTAAGTTTTTTTAAAAAAAAACTTTTTCTCCACCATTATAAAAACCATAAATGCTTATTTTAGGCTGTTTGAAAAACACAGAAGGAATAAAAACGCTAGCACCAATAATATGACCTCTATTTCTTTCTGAGAATCTAAAGGTAGCTGAAACTCACTCGAGTCTGCGGCTGTCGCTCTGAGCTGCCATTTTACAAATATTCACTTCCTTAATTTCAGCCTACCTCCTTAGCTCATTAAGAAAGGAAAACAGAAGTTGAGGACTGTTCACTGCACAGAGGACTTGGCATATCAGTATACCTCACTTTGAGATAAATAAGTTGCGGGGGGGGGGGGAAGAGACTCAAATTCTGCTAACAACAGCTCTCTGTAATATATTATAGGGGCAGTGCTTGAAGAAATGGATAAACTTCGAGTAATTCACACAATAAGAATGCACAAACTGAATTTTCAACCTCAAAACAAAACCTGTCCAGTGAAGTATGTTAAATTCTGGTTATCTGGTTGCCTACATTTCTCCCAATGTATTTTCAATTACCTAAATCCGAGTTTGAAGTAAAAGTTCATCCCTTCCGGGACATCAGCCATTTTTATTTTCATATGCTCCCCTGGACTTGCCTGCAAAGTCTGTTGTTGCTATCCCAGGCATCACCCAGAACCACAAGTGCTGTGAGCCAGAGAAATGCAAATCTCAGTGATAATATTGAATATTTTATCCAACAACTAGAAGCCATTTACTTAATGGAAAGTATTACAATGCATGATGCCATTCCAATCAAGGCTTAATTCATTTGCAGGCAGACTTTCAAGAGTTTGAACCCTGCATTTTGCTTATAAAAGGAGCCACTCCACAGTTAAATTTCACAGGAATTTAAACCATCCATCCACTGCCAACCTGATCTAGTTTTACCCCTCTGATGCTACAGTTACCTTTTCGGATTCATTGGAAACATTTTTAGCCAATAGGTCCAACAGAGATTGATCTTGATGTACCTGGACTCTGAAAAGCCATGGTGGAGGCTGGGCCTGGATTGCATTATAGTACGGCAACCCGAGATGACTCTGGGGTATGGGGAATTAGGGGGAAGCAATGATCAAATAGGGTTTCATTTACACCTTTGCTTGTAATTTAGATGTCTTGTCTAGATTAAAGCCATTAGTGGGCACAAATGGAGAAAATGTGTTTGAGTGTGATATGGTTTGAATTTCTACTATCTAACTATGAATCAAAACCAGGAACAAGAGTAATATGGGCATACAGAAGCAGCCAGAGAGAACCAAGACTGTTTGGTTAAAGGTTATATCTGGTTTCATAATAAGGGGGAAGCTAGGACACATAATAGGAATCACTATATATTATTTATGTATAGTTAGGGTGCTATATTAAATTTACAATGAATTTTCTATGGTTCTCGCCATAGAGTATGGATTCAGTCATTTTCAAGACTCACTTAGTAATTTTTATAAATTCCCATGGTAGTGAACCCCTTCAAGTATTGTTAAATATAAGCTGTCTGAACTGGGGTGGATTACATCAGACTAGAGTCAATAGTCTATAAATGGTCTTTCTTTTCAGAATTCTGTCTCAATGAGGTCTGTTTCTATAATGAAATGGAAATCTTATTCCCCCAGAATTTCCTGTAAGAAGAATTTCTTTTTTATTGAATTTATTGGGGCGACATTGGTTAATAAAATTATATAGGTTTCAGGTGTACAATTCTATCATATGTCATTGGTATATTGTATTGTGTGTATACACCCCAAATAAAGTCTCTTTACATCACTACTTATTCCCCTGTACCCTTTTCTACTCCCCCCTGCCTTTCCCTCTGGTAACCACCATACTGTTGTCTGTGTCTATGAGTTTGTTTTTTGCTTAATCCCTTCGCTTTTTTCACCCAGCGCTGAAATCCCATTCCCCTCTGACAGCTGTCCGTCTGTTACACTACCTATGAGTCTGTCTTTATTTTGTTCATTAGATTCCACATATGAGTGAAATCACATGGTAGTTGTCTTTCTCTGACTGTCTTATTTCACTTAGCATAATGCTCTTCAGGTCCTCCCATGCTATTGCAAAAGGTAAGAGTTCCTTTTTTATGGCCAAGGAGTATTCCATTGTGTAAATGTACCACAGCTTTTTGATCCACTTACCCACTGATGGACACTTGGGCGGCTTCCAAATCTTGGCTATTGTACATGATGCTGCAGTGAACATAGGGGTATACATATTTGAAAGGAATACTTGGATAAACCACTTAATGTGGAAGTGTGAGATGCTAAGGACATGTCTAGTAATAAAAGATGGTTTCTACACTACAACATACAATATTAGGAAAGGAATCTGCATCTCTCCTAAGAAGCAGAAGGAACTAGAGAAGAGTGAGCACTGCTGGGAGAAGGGTGTGGACCACAGAGAGAAAAGCCTCAGTTCTGGGCCAGAGGAGGGTCTTGAGAGGGTGGAAGTGACTAATATGGACTCTGATGATCCTCCTTGCTTAAAAGAGGTGCATGAGAGTGTGTGAGTGTGCACATGTGTGTGCACGTGTGTGTGTGTGTGTGTGTGTGTGTGTGTGTGTAGAGGGTGATTTACATCTGATAAAAATCCCCTCTGTCCTGATCTTTCACTAAAATCCACATTGCTCACTAGCTTATTTGTGAACATAGATTCTTCTGAGTTCCATGTCTGGGTAACAGTGGGGGCACAGAGATGGCACAAACAAACACTGACTCAAGGGA